CGAAATGTCTGGGAATGTACCACGTCCACGGTCCGATTTTGGAAATGATGATGCATAGAATGGACTCTGGACTAAGTGCGCTCCTCTAAGTCTTCCTACCAATATGAAAAAGTTGCGAAAACAAGGTCAAACAACCTCTATAAATGCATTTAATTGTTCATTAGCAGGTTAATAGTAGTAGCACCATGACCGAAAATCCGATATGTACGTAGGTGTAATTGTGTCTTCATGTGACAATAGAAGGATTAAATGATTAACGGCTAGATTAATACTTCTGTCGAGCTGTTAATAGGCAAGTAACTTCCTTGCCCAAAATAAGAAATTGACTTTTCCTCATTTTCGCTTGGCCAAAAAGCAAGCATTAAACGAGAGTTGAAAATCTCATGCCAAAGTGGTATGAGTTCACACACCAAAAGGAGAGTAATTGAAGGAGGCAATATTATTTTAGTCGGAAAAGTAAAGACAAATAAACGAAGGTTAGATTACCTCAGCGCCAGTCTTCTGGTTAACAAAGACTTTCTGATTGTTCTGGTATCGGATGGTCCAGATATCACTGCCCTCCGGTGCCATCTAAACAAGAGAAAAAAAGGATGCCAGGCTTAAGACCTAATGGACAACTTCAACAAAGCAAACAACTTGAGTAAAAAAGTACGATAGTGACGTAAAGATAGATTCTATCAAAGAACGATGGCAACACGAATATGATTGTAAAAATGATATCCAACGCTGATGAAGTTTTTCATGCAACGAATAAGATTGCCCCGGGTACTGCGTCAACCATAATGCTCCAGCAAAGCTAAGCGTAAGCTGATCAATATGAATCAACCGTCGTCTTATGGTGGGATCATCGCACAGTTTCATTTAAAATGGAAGAAAGTATAAACCAAGAGGGTCAGCGAAGCCCAATTTAGTCCCACATCCGCAAGCAAAAATTTCACATTACCAAACAAAAGGTCTCTTTTTGGAAAAAAGATTAATTTTAAATTTGTTTTAATCAATCCATGAGCAAGCAATTAGGGATAGTTTAGGTAATAATGACCTGCTATCAAAACGAATATACGCAACGCTGTTGTGGAGACTACCAGTCGAAGGAAGACAGACTCTACCAATCACTGTCACTCCAAATTGTATCCAGGACGGTTAGTTTGATTAGACTTCATCGGAACCCACAGTGGAGTTTGGATTCTACTAGAGGCAAAGTGTTGAGCAACTGAGATTATAGAGTCGAAGGGATTCTGGTCGCTAGAGCCCACACTAACTTAAAACTGACCGAACAGCTAACATTTTTGGCGGCTCTCCTCCTAGTCTCTTTTTCCCTCACCCTTAGATAAGCCATATAGTATATAGATATCCCGGTGGCAGGTGACACAACTGATCCAAAAGGTCGAATATAGTATACCTCGAATCGACTGTCCAACCTGTATTCTGGATTCATCCCCCCTATCAATATGATGTGTGTGATAATACTCTTGTGGTCACTTGCAGTAGATAGGTTCTGCGCTATTTCAGCATAGCGGAAGCAGCTCCTTGTTCTGATGTTCTCTCATGCTTGGATCAACAAGCCCCTCCAAAAGAAATAATACCGGACGGACGACAAGTATCGGCCAGTAGGTACGCGTCCATAATATTTTCCCAAGACTTCATTTCTATATAAAATATGTAACGAGGCCCAATCTTTTTTGGAGACATGCAATATGATTTTTTTTTCGTGATTGAGTAGTTTTTTGGAACTACCATTAAATCAGATATATGAGTTGTTTCCACCCGATTTCGTTTAAGGCGATGAACTGGTAGTTGAAATTTCCCACTGATACGAGTAGAGCTGACGTTTTCCATTGAACCCTGCTTTCCCAAAGGGTATTCTCATCCAGGGTTGGCTGCAGTTTCGATTTAGCATAGGTCTTATCGTGCCTAGTCATCGGCACCGCCCCGCGACCCTGAAGACCTCTTGCTGAGCTTTGGTCCGTTGTGTGACGAACAGTCTTAAAAGGACACCATGTTTTTCGATAATTCCCCAAAACACGAAGATAAGAAAATTGGCCATCCTAAATTTGTACACTCAATACTTAATGAGACATCTCATGATTTAGTTGGATATCCTATGCTTTCCCTAAATTTTTTCAGTTAATTCATTCTTCAGGCAGAATTTAGGGAAAGCATAAGATGCCCAACAAAATCATGAGATGTCTCATTAAGTATACGAAGTTAGGCAATAAGAAGTAGGTAGGTTTGCAATTGGCCACCTTACTTTCCTTCATGTTTTAGTGAATAATAAAAAAGCATGGTGTCTACCTCTGACCATGTCCGCCACACGACAGACGAAAACTTAGCTAGGCTCAACCCACTCTAGCCACAGTTACAAATCCCCCTTTATCTTCCAATATTGCCAAGTTATGAATCCATTGCACTCTCCTTCTCGAAGGAAATGAAGGACAATGGCCTTACGGGAGTCTTCAAAACCCAGTTTTTCTACATATTGCCCCTTTCGTTGTCCCAGACTTCTTTGATCGGACAAGGAGGAGAAAGTCCCTTCTGAATTCGTAGTCAAATGGTTCGAGTATTGAGAAAGATGCTGCCTCAATGTTCTTCTAAAGCTTAGCTACGAAAGTAAAAATTTCAATAAGGAAAATTATGATGCAAAATGTAAAGCCCTAATCTGTCTCGCTCTAATAAGTCTTTGAGGGTGCAGGAAACTATAAAGACTTAATAAAGAAGACATCTGTTTTATAAGTTAAGGGTAGATCACAGGCCTTTGCCTACACTAACTACATCAGCGGCAAGGACGAAGTCTCAGTCACACCGCTCAATCCACCACCCTTCGTAGGTGATAGATTTGATATCAATAGTATCATATACTACCAGCTGCGTTAGAATAAGGCTCATTTCGTATCACATGCTCCAAATAGCTGATGTTGCAACGCATTGCGAATGTTGATATAAGCATGCGCAAGAACGGCAGAAAGATGAGTCAAACCTGTGCTGGATAGTTCTTCACCTTTTTCAGTCATTTGCAGGTGGTATTTGATCGAAGAGTAAACAGAATTAACGGCCTATACAAACGGATCATAAGTCCGGGTGGTGGTTGACTAATTCATTAAAAATCTTTAGTTGAGTTCCACACTGTGAAGCTTATCCTAATGCGCAATAGCAATTAAGAAGCTATTTAAAACTGAAGGCCAGACTCTATTGTCTGAGCATGAGGAAAAATTGTTGAGTTGCATTTCACCAGAATAATATAGCACGAGGTGCAACGAAAACGTTACTCTTTACATATATAAGGCTTGGTTTCTGGAAATATGAATGAAGGCATAGGAAGATAGAAGCATTACTAGAACAACGAGACAAAGGGCATAAAAAATTAATGAACAAAGTTAATCTGAACGAACAATCAAATAGAGACGAAAAGGTGGAAAATAATACGTAAGTAGACCGAGTGGGTCTAAGTACTCCATAACAGATGTATAGTGACCTATCCCCACACTTTTCCCGTTCACGTCGGGCTCACCAGTGTTGCGTTCCTAAGAGGGATGTCTCTAAAATATAAAA